CAAGGACCAGCCAAGGACCATCTAAGGACCAGCCAAGGACCAGCCAAGGACCATCTAAGGACCAGCCAAGGACCATCCAAGGACCAGCCAAGGACCATCCAGGGACCAGCCAAGGACCAGCCAAGGACCATTCAAGGACCAGCCAAGGACCATCTAAGGACCAGCCAAGGACCATCTAAGGACCAGCCAAGGACCATCCAAGGATAGTAAAAAAATAATAAAAAAGGGACCCTAATGCTACGTTCACACCTCCTGTGATTGAAGCAGCAGATCAGGTGCTTTACCCAGATAATTTAGCTAATTTAGGGGTTAATAAACTAACATCTTCTTCCAGCCGCCACCAACAGGAGGGGAAAACCTCCAGGAGGCGACCAGGCCTGCAGCAGCTGCTGCTGGGGATTCCCAGTGACAGCGCACTGGCGGTGTAGCTACCAGATCTGCTCGGGTCCGGCTTCCTGCCAGTTACAGGATTGGATGAACGTTGACAAATGATGTAAACATTGTGGTTGCCTAGACAACGATAACATCACACAGCGTCAGTTTGCCGAGTCAGCATCTGTAGCGTTAGCGTGTCTAATGACCGATGAAGTTTTACCTGATCGATAACAAAAAGTTTATAGTTAGAAACTGTTCGACCATCATATAAAGCAGGAGAGCTAGTAGCGCTGTGGCTAGCTGTGCTCAGCAGCTAACAGTTTAGCCTGTTTTAGCTCGCTCAGTTAGCCATGTCACGCTACACTAACTTTAAATTTGTGTCAAAAACAACTGTTCTTTTTCTACAAGTAGAATAACCGTTGAAATAAAAGAATAAAATCAGCTGAGACTTTTTGTGTCCCTTTGTTAAATAGCAGACTGATGATTGTTTTCTACTTTCGGCTACTTTAGATCGCAGATGAAATGTAAAATAATAGAAAATAAAGGTAATAATATGTTGAGACTCCAAAAGAGATTTGATCCTTTAGAAACGGATGCGATACAGTTTGTCCGAGGGAAGTTGCCATATGATGACGTCATAAGAAGGGGTGGGGCCCCGAGCAGATCTGGTACTAGAGCCCTGCTCTCCCGCGGGACCCAACGCAAAGCAGCGCGGCGCGGGGCAAATACTGAAAGCTCAGTGCGGGTGGGAGCGGTGATAAGCAGCAATCCCACGAACTAAAAACGGGTTTTAAAATGTAAAATAAAATCATAAATTATCAGTCTATCATATATATACACATCACATTTTGATATATGATGTTTGAAGTGGGGCCGCACGCCGCTGAACGAGCCACAGGTGTGAACCACGCCCACCTGTCCGCTGCAGCTCCTGACAGCAATGTCCTGACAGCAATGTCCTGACAGCAATGTCCTGACAGCAATGTCCTGACAGCAATGTCCTGACAGCA